GTTGTAAAAAGGCTCAATTACACCATATAATACTTCAGAAATAAACCATTGAAAGTCTGGGACTAGGACTGGATCCAGCTCCACCCAGACTCCTTTTAAAGAAGGATTTCAGAAAGCAAGAGGGTTCTTTCTGCACCTTGTGACTCAACAGGGCAAGGGGGTCTTCCCAATAAACTTTGTCTGAAGCTCCCATTCTGCCCCTGACACTCTTATAACAATTACCTTTTATAAAATAACACAATTATTTTGTTATCTGACTCTAAAAGCATTTTTCTATGGAAGAAGCATTGTGTGCAGCACTGTAATGTAAATGACTCAGCATAAATACCTGAGTCATTTGTCATTATTAATTTTTTTTAAAAAGCAATCTATACCAGAATACTCAGAGAAGTATCCATCATTTTCCAAGTTTTAAATGTGATATTTACATTCCCTTTAGAAAAGACAATGGCACTTTCTCACCTTTGTTACCTTCAGAGAGTTTCATTATCAAGAACCCACTATCAGCAATTACTTATGCATTTTAAGTGACAGTTTTGCATTTCTGGTCCAGTTTTGCCAAAAGTGAAAGACTCAGTTCAGATGCATCTGTTTTCCAGTGACATCTAAGATTGCTTTCTTTCATTTATTCAGTGAACCAGCTGTGTTGACTGATGTCTGAGAAATCAAGTTCAGTCACAGAACAGTTCCATTGTAGTCAATTTAGTTGCAGCAAAGACCAATTTGACCCATGGAGCTCTGTATATTGTAAAAGGTCATGCAGCCTGTCAGTAGTTCAGACAGGATTTAAATAGAGGATCCTCCTGAATCCCAATTCAAATGAGACTCTTTTGACATCATCACAGTGTCTACATATTCAGACTGACATTTTGTCACTCAGAGCACTGCTTATCTGTTGCCACACCAAAAAGTGACTGTCATGGCTTCAGCCACATGCCCTCATTCTTTATTTCCATTTATTTATAACTCTCTCCTCTATTCAGTGGCAGCTGTTAAAACCGATGTGGATTTCCTTTCTCTCTCCCTCCTGGGAGCTGTGGATGAAGAAGAGGTTTCAGACACATTTCAGGAGGGCAGTAGCAGGGTACTGACCTCAGCCTGGGAACCCAGCAGTTTCATTAGTGCCAGAGCAGCAGCTTGGCAGCTGAAAGCAGCTCCACGTAGCATGGAGCATGCCTGCATGGGGTGCTGACAGTCACAATAATACTCCAGTTATTAAAGACCCTCACTGAATGTAATTGTTTGGATAATGTGATTTATTGAATCCCCTTCTAGTCCTGTATATGTATGATGTTTGTATGATAAAGCTAAAAAATGTTTTATGGAGGCAAGGAAAAGGATGGTCATCATTCTGAATATCTACAAGCAATCACAAGGAAGCTCTGACTTACTTCATTGCTACACAGCTTCCTTATTTATGATTATTTCCCTACAGTACCTTTAAATTACTTACAAGGTAATTATTTTTTCTTGTTTTCCCTTTTCACAATGTATTTTTCATTGTAATATAAACCCTAACTTATTTGAAATTATTCATGTCTGTTACAATGTCATCATTATATTTCACATAAAACAAAACCAAAATGTGCTTTTGAGCATTACCTGTAATTCAGAAGTTCCTTCTCGACAGTCCTCAAATTTGTCAAATTCTTTATCATGTAAGAGAGTTAGATTCATAATTGTAAACATAACATTTACAGTAATTTCATTATTATATATTTATTATATATAAATGTTGTACACAGTTCAATTTAATGTTTTGATTAATCATTACTGTGAAGCATTTTGTACCTATGTGTGTGCATATACATACATACATATATATATATACATACATATATGAGCTGATTGTGTAACACTCTTTCATTGGGTACCTTTGATTGTGTAACACTCTTTCATTGGGTACCTTAACATCCAACACAATTTGAAATTCTGCTTGCCTCTGCCTGCAACAGGTGCCAAGTAAATTTTCCCCCTTAAGTTCCCTCCTGAACAGGGTGGATACCATAAGGGTGGTTACTTCTGCACGTGGTAATTAGAAGGGGAAGGTCAGGCTTTCTGGTTATGTCCCAATATGGGCCAGCTTTGCCAGAGATGCTTTTACTAGCTTAGTAGAATTTCTTTTGGTGCTAAATTTCTCTGCTAGTAAAAATTCCTGTATAGCCAATATTAGAGTGGTGAATTTTTTTTTCTAAGATAGTTTATTTCACTCAGATATCCAGCACAAACTGTTTCAGCAAGTGTGGGGTTTTTTCAGCAATAAACTGTATCTGCACTATAACAGTAAACATTGCCCAGTATATAGCAAACCTCAGCCAAAAGGGATTTTGAACTATGACTCGATATTCTAGGATCGAGTGAGAGATGGCACAACATTTTTACTCTCTCATCTAGGAGGATTTTCAATTAAGTTCAGATAGTTCAGTTATAAAGCTATAACATTTTAACTGTAAGAATTTCTATTTTTTTTCTTGCATTAGATTGTGCTTCAGTTACTGGCCAAGATGATGAGTATCTTGCTCTGACACAGCTTATGTCAACCAACTAAATTAGACTTTGTGAAAAAGACACTAACACTACACTTGAGAGATCAAAACAATATACTGATAAACTTCAGTTGTGAAGAAGGTTAAATCTTTCATCAAGAGCAATTTTATAATCAAGTTAGTCAAGCTGTCCTGTGCATGATTAATGCACTATCTCTAAGGGAAAGACACCACTGCAGATAAAATTCATGAAGTACTAACCGTGTGATTCTAATTAAGATACAGGTTGTTGCATTAAGCAAATTAAGCTAGTTTAAGGTACTTATCCTTCCAAGTAGTTAATGAAATGGTATATCCCAAAAATTTCAATAAAAAAATTATTCTGTTTAAGCTGTTAAATTTCATTGTGAGGAAAAAGAAATGCACTGACCCCTCAATAACTCCACTCTCCTATCCCTTAGTGTCCTCTCTGCAGTACAAAGAAGCTCTCATAACTTTTCTACTTTCATAAACAGAGAACAATATAGAGGGTCAGTCTGAGTATTAAAAGTGCATGAGTAGCCAGGAGTACATGCCACTGATGGAAATAAAATTATTAAATCTCCATTTCTTAAGACGAGATGCCAAGCAAAAACTCTTACCTCATGCACAGATGGCTGGAACTTTTCCATCTGTCAGTAACTTCTGGCTTCCAACCCCTGCAGGATCCTAACATCAGTCCTCCAGGCATATTAGCATGTCTGGGGAGTATTAGGAGTCAGAGAGATCCCTGTTCTGGGTTTACACAACTACTTCAGCACAGACATTCCCTTGGGACTTTTCCTCAGTTTAGATGTGTTTCTGTGTATAAGACACTGAAAAATCAAAACCCACCAAAGAAGCCGTACTAGACTGAGATCTCAACTGGCTCCAGGGAATACTGAAGCAGGAAAGTATTTTAAATTCTGGTTCTGTTGAGCAGCATCTCTGGAGTGGAATTTTCTCATGTTGTGCATGCTGGTGTGGCACAGTTGGTAATACACTGATATACTTCTAGCAGTGTCAGATAGTACTTGAACAACAAAACAGTATCATTCTTCATCAGGCATGTTTCCTTTTAAGCTGAAAATTGCATGCTGCACAGATAGCAGGTGTCTTTACTTACAGCCTCCAACCACTGACATCTGTATTTGTAGTACAGAAAAAATGCATTTACTAAAGCAGAGCCTCCCAAGCTGAGGATTTTGTAGCACTTGTGATCACAACACTGTGATCACTACTTCCACACCACATGTGGAGCCAGAGCTGCCTACTTGGAGATACTCAGCTGAAGTGTAGGATGAGCACCCCAAATCTGCTACTGTTGGAAATCAGCTACTACCAGCCTGCAGGGACTTACCTAGTGGCTTACACAGATTTCTATCCATAGGCAGTAATTATTACTGTTAATGGTCATTGATCAGAACAGCTTTATTATCTAAATCATTCAGGAGATCTTAGTCTCCATAAAGTAGAAATAACTTCAATCAATATAGATTTGTGTTCAATAATTATGAGTAGAATTAATTGCTATAAGGCCAGCTTAGCATTAGATATAGTGGTAGATGAAATGATCAGGAAATATCAGGCAAGAAGGAGCAGAAGTAAGAAATAAATTAGGAATTTCCACAGGCAAAGGTCAGCAAATCTTCCTGACCATAAGCAACCAATATATATCTGTATCACTATGTAAAGAACATAGAAAACAGATAACTCACACAGAACAAGGCAGCTTGATAGTTTTATGATTCCTTTACCTTAAGGAAACTAAGAGAACGACAGATAACAGAAGAGTAAGGCCCATATTTCTAGTCTCCCAAGACATGCACTGAGAACTTTGGCCTTGAACATAGCTAGGATTTCTTTACCAATGAACCATATACCCTGTCCCAAGCTAAAGATAAAATGGACATAAACGTGTTATCCGAGCCCCAGATAATCTTAAATTTCATAACACTGCTAGATAATATGGAGTGTTTTTCACATCACACCTGCATAGCTTTGCTCTTTGCCGTGCACTGTCCTTAAGGAAGTAAGGAAATATTTTTAAAATACGTATTTATTTCTGAGAACCCAATTCCTCTGGGTTGGCTGCCTCAAAATGCCTCAATTCTCAGCCCATAGCCTGGAAACTTCTGTCAGACGTGAGCAGGGAGTGAGGGGATGGTTGTAACCCAGCAGGTGAAGTGACTTGGACACGAGTTTTACCTTCCATGGCCGAAGGGATACAGATTCACACAGGTGCCTGCAGGATGGGCTGTTCTGCCCGGACAGCGCAGCCCCCGTGAGTGCCGCCTCCCCGGGGCTGCCGAGACAACCGAGCCCAGGAAAATTTTCACCGCAGCACCTGCTGGTGGGAGCGCGTTCGTGCTCCCGAGCGGGACTGCAGGCAGCGCTTACCGCCCACCGGAGCCGGCCAGGAGCACAGCTGAGTGCTTCCCTTGTGCCGGGGCCGAGAGCAGCCCGGCCTCCAGGGGCAGAACGTGCCGGCAGCTCTGACACTGTCCCGCCATGGCTCCGGGACTCCCCCTGTCCCTCAGACGCGGCCCCCCGCCGCCATCTTGCTAACGGCGCCGCTCCGCTGTGCGGGGCCGGGCTGCAGGGTGCCCTCTGCCCGCCACGGTGCGGGGCCGGGCTGTGGGGTGCCCTCTGCCGCCACGGTGAGGGGCCAGGCGTCGCGGAGCCCCGGTTCGCCATGGCGGGGCGCCGGGCGCTGTGGAGCTACTCCGTGCAGCTCGTGGCGCTGCCCTCAGCGGCGGGCTGGTCAGGTGGAACGCCGCAGCCGTTCAACAGCTCCTACCGAAGACCTACGGAGCGGCCGCCGTGGAAGGGGTGGAGCGGCACCATGGAGGAGGAGGAGAAGGAGGAGAAGGGGGACGAGACTCTTCAGGGGCGGCAGCAGCAGCCTAGGTGAGCGGCGCTCCAGCGGCAGCAGCGCTCTGGGGCCGGGGGTCTCTGACCCCGCGCCTTCCTGTGAGCAGCGGGAAACCGGACCGAGCCGAGCGGCGGCTCCCGCCCCGTGCCCGTCCGGAGGGCAGGCGCTGCCCGGGCTGCCGCCGTCAGAGCCCGGCTGGCGGCCGGAGGAGCGGAGCACCTGCTCCGAGCGCGGCAGCGGGGCTCTCCAGACACACACACGGTGCCGAGGCCCCGCCGGTGAGTGTGGGGGGACCGGGCTGAGCCGCTGCGGGAGGCGATGGGGCCGGTGAGTGGGGGGGGGCCGGGCTGAGCTGCGGTGGGAGCGGGGTAGAGCGGGCGCGGGCACCCGCTCGGAAAAGTTGGCGGGTGGGCGGGCGAGGTGCGTGGGGCCGGCGAGCCCGGCTCCCGGCCGGGGAGAGCGGCACAGCCCGGCTTCCCACGGAGCTCGGCGTGTGGGGCCGGGGAGGAGCGGCACAGCCCGGCTGCCCACGGAGCTCGGCGTGTGGGGCCGGGGAGGAGCGGCACAGCCCGGCTGCCCACGGAGCTCGGCGTGTGCCCCTGCCCCACTCCCTGCCTGCCGCCCCGGCTGGGCACAGACCCTGACGGGCTCCAAAACCGGCTGCGACCGGGGCATCCTTTCGCACTTGCGAAAGAAACCCTGCAAGGATAAAAGTCCTGCTTTCGCTCCCAGCGCAAGGCTTTCGTTTCTGTCAATTGACAGTAAAACATGCTGCAGCAGCGCTGGGAAAGAAACAAGTTATATAATCGCAAAAAAAAAAAAAAAAAAAAAATCCGCTTCGTAGTGTTGGCGGCTTGGAGAATGTTTTCTTTTGAAGAGGAGGCACGAACAGATGTTTCTGTTCGAATTGTATAGTGCGAAGTGGCGGATATTAAGGAGGTCATTTAATGTAATTAGTGCAGTCAAATAATCTCAATGATCGTCAATTATCTCTAGCTAGCAAGGGTTTGGGGAAAGTGTTAGTTGACTGCGTGCAGTAAAATTCATGAACATGTGCAGAAATGTTTTTTCTGGTGACGATTATGATTTCTTCCATTTGCTAAATGGTGATTATGTAGCAAGTTTTTAGTTTAAAGGCAAGTACTCTTTGTACTTAAGTATTTTTTTCTTTAATTCTCAAACTGCACGGACTAAAGTAGTATCAAAATTAAAGATAATAACAGGAAAACCACTTCTGTTTTCTTGCAAAAAAAAACTTTGAAAAGAGTATTTTTTTATTCATAGTAGCAGCTATATCAGTTAAGAAAGTAGGAAGCTTATCTTACTTTGTAGATAACATTTTGAGGAAGACAAGAATATTATTCTTTTTACTTATTAAGTCAAGAATTATTGCAACAGCGGCTTTCAAAATACCCCAAATTATCTCAAACTGAAATTCCTATTATAAAAAACAATGGGAATTTTTAGTACCTGGAGGTTGGAAAGCCCTGTTTGATTCAGTTATGGATGATGGAGAGTTGTTTTTGGGAGAGGAGGGAAGTAAGGGATGACAGTGAAACTGTTCAAATATAAATAACAGTTATTCAGCTTCTGCTTGGCCTCAAATCAAAAGAGATGTGAAGCCTTTTTAAGAGGAAGCAATCCGCTGTTATAATTTTATTCACTTGCATTATCTAAGCAGATTTGAGGAATAACCAGGAGAAAAATGCTATTTCCTTTGCCTTTATAAGCTCAAGATTGAACCAAAACTGTTAATTCTTCATTCAGAAATAGCTTTTAAGTTCTTTTCAGCAAAAAGGAAGGCAATTATTTTGTCTGTGATGAGAAAAACAGAAATACTGCTATATTAATTAGTGTCTTCATATGTAACACCTGCAGTGAAATTAGTTTTGCTTTTTGTCACATCTATGAATCTCCCTTTAATTGATCTCCCTTTAATTTTTTTTGGTCTATTGCTTGAACTCTATAGGTTGCAGTGTGAGCTCCACTTGTAATACATTCAGAGTCAGGACCATGGAAAATCACTTGATTGCCTTGTGCCTAAAGATTCGAGCAAAAAGGATTTTTCTGTAAACTGAATGTTGCACTTAGTTTAAATAGTCTTAGAAAATTTAGAAAAGAAGTAATGTGTTATATACTCTTGGCATGTAACATCTTGGTGTTTAGCAGCTGTACAAGGAAGGGATGGTTTGGGTTTGATAGCCTACAACTGTGCCCAAGCAGATAAACCTAGCAAAGCTGCTCAGGGAAGAGAACTGGGCATTGCCAGCTGACACTGTGAAAACACTGCTGCCATCATACCCCTGCTGGGAAAGTTTCATAAGATGTGTGAGTGAAAAATTGGGTGTTAAAGAATGTCTGCCAAGGGTTACTTCTTCTGTAAGCCCTGTTAATTGTGGTTGGAGCTGGAAGTCCTACTGCCTAGTGAATAAGGCTTATGATATGACAACAGGTTTTATTGCTTAAAATATTTGGAAATATTTTTGTCATGCTTTGGACTGGTCTTTGTAGGAAGGTTTGTAGGTGATATTCAACTGTTTCTCATAAGAATGTGGTAATAGCAAGGTGTTTGTGTGTGATGTGTTCACATAAAACACTTTGTCTCCTTAAAACACCTGTGTATTTAGGATGGTGCCTTGAAAATTAGTAGATGGCTCAGATATTTGTGTTGGCATATTTGTATATGCCTTGACTCTTTCATAAGAAAAAAAACCCAAACCACACAACTTCTAGTATTAACACTTCTGTTGTTGACTAACAAGTAAAGCATTTTGTTTAGAGTAGTGAAGACATTGTAATCTAGAGGTGTGGGGATGGAATCAAAGGCCCTGTATAAACAGGAAAAAAGGGCGTAATGAAAAACATTTATGTATCATAATGCTTCCAGTTTCCTTCAGGATTGATGTTTTGCTGTGGCTCTGTACTGTTCCCTGTAATTTCTTCTTAAAATGGATGTGTGTTTCAGTTAAAGAACTATAAGAGTGCTGTACTGGATGTGGTTTCTGACTTTCTGGTATCAAGTTTGGATGTTCAAAACTTTTGTTATTTGGAAAGGCTGGTGACCTTTTGGCTTAACTTGTTTTAAAATTGGCCTTTGAACAGGTGCATTGAAGAAAAGTATCTATTTCAATTAAAAAAAATTTCACTTCCTTATCTTACCCGACCTGGAAATTATTTGATTGGATTTCAATAAATTTGAATTCAAATGTTATAAATAGTTCTGTAAAATCCATATATGTATGGGGTGTATGTAAATATATAGAGGGAGAGAAAGAATGTTGTTAGGACAAGCAAAAGTTGATTTTATATTGAAAATCAAGAATAGAAAGAATTTAGGGAAGTATTTTCATGTTGCAGAGAAATTACACTGGATCAAATGTACCTAGACCTTAAACTGAAAAGAGGGAATCAAAATAGACAAGCCTTTAAATATGAATATAAACAAAATTTTATGACTGTCTATTAACTTAAAAATAAAATGGAGTTCTTGGGTGTTGCTGCACTTCCTGGACAACTAAGGTTTTATAGAGTTGTAAAGGATTATTCTTGGTGTGAGTCTAGAGGAAGTTTGCATAGGTGTTTGTTCCTTTCTGGCACGGGGAGACAAGGAAAAAGAAAATTAATAGGCTTAGTAAATGAGGTGGAGATAGCAATTGCACACATAAAAGTTCTGGAGTCGATGATAAGTGAACTTTAGATCCTACTTTGCCATGTGGATCCTTTGCATCAAAGCTTTAACATGATTTCTGTTCGTTTTTAGGGAAACAGTTCTTATGATGCCTCTCTAACCACATGTTACAAAGGACATCAGTTTTCTCCCACAGCATGTTGAAGTGGAGCCTTAATTTCATTACATGTAATAGCATTTGGGTTTAGTCATATCTAATTGACATGAAGATGTTAGATGGAAAACCTTTACCCTTAGGATGGAGTGTGAGCTTGTAATATTTTAAAACTTTTTAGTTAAGAAAAACATATGCTAACAGCTTCAATGGCATCATAACTTAAAATGCAAACTCCAAGATGTAGAGGCTGTTAACACACAGGAGTGGCTGAAGTGTGTTTTTAAATGCTCAACTTCAAAGTTTGACAATCTTTTCTAACAGTAAACCCCATCCTGGCAAGGTGTGCCTCTGTCATTGACTGGAGTCACATCAGTAACCAGCTGAAACTCATGAACTGCTCGTTTGCATAAATAGTTACACCAGTGCAGCTGCTGCCAGAACATTAAAGCTGGCCTCTGGATCCTATAGCTGGCTTGGTGCAAGTTTTGTGTTTGCTCTTTTGGAAAAGCTTTTTTTGAAATCCTTGGGCCATCCATGGAGATTGTAGCTGCTGTTGGAATCCATGACTTACCTGTACAGCTGTGTGCATATGCCATCTACAGTCATTTTTCTGTTGGCTTAAAAATTGTCTGCATCTGATTTGTGACCCAGCCATTGTCTTGTGTACCATAACACAGCTGTAATGCACAAACCTTGCTGCTGTGGGTCAGCCTCAGTCCTGCAGAGCAGGTAAGAAATCTTTGATTCTAGCTCTTGTTCTTTCAACATTCTTCCCTATAAATTAACTAGTCTTATGAAACTAGTTGTTTAGGGAGAGCAAAGGAAAGCAATTTCCTTTCTGGTGTAAGAGATTTGACTCCAGCTTCCCTTTGGTGACTGCTTCAGCAATAGCACAGAATTACACTGCTCTTGTGCTTAATCATAATGATAGTCTAGGCTGCTCTTTCAGATGTGATGGCCACAAGCCAACTCTTGGGTTCTTTTATTCAAGATTGCAGTAAAAGATGAAGGCAGAGAGGAAAATAATTTATTTTAAAGGCCTATATCACTAAAGAAATGGGCTCTTGGGTCTGTCATCTCTGTTCTACTGCATGTCCCCTGTGGACAGCTACTGTCATATCAGGGATCACAGCCTAAACAGGATATGCATGTAACAAAAATCTTCTCATATTATCTACAGATCATAGACATGTTTGGGGACTACAGAATGCTCATATTGGACGGGGACGGTCAGCTGGGGCACCTGGAAA